GTGGCTCGCAGGCTCTAGAGCACAGACTCAGTAGTTGTAGCACATGGACTTAGCTCTGCGGCATGTGGGATCTTCCCGGACCAGGGCTCGAACTCGTGTCCCCTGCATTGGCAGGCGGATTCTTAACCACTGCACCATCAGGAAGTCCCTGCATTTTAAAAAAATTAGTAAAAATTTAAAAAGTTTATTTTATTGAAGTATGATTTGATTTACAATGTTGTGTTAATTTCTTCTGTACAGCAAAGTGACTCAGCTATACATGTATATATTCTTTTTCATATTCTTTTCCATTATGGTTTATCACAGGATATTGAATGTAGTTCCCTGTGCTATACAGTAGGACCTTGTAGTTTATCCATCCTATATATAATAATTTGCATCTGTTAATCCCAAACTCCCAATCCATCCCTCCCCCACTCCCCTCCTCCTTGGCAACCACAAGTCTTTTCTCTATATTCATGAGTCTGTTTCTGCTTTGTTTCATTTGTGTCATATTTTAGATTCCACATATAAGTGATATCATATGGTGTTTGTCTTTCTCTGACTTACTTCACTTAGTACGATAATCTCTAGGTCCATCCATGTTGCTGCAAATGGCATTATTTCATTTTTTTGATGGTTGAGTAGTGTTCCATTGTATATATATACCACATCTTCTTTATCCATTCATCTGTTGATGGACATTTAGGTTGCTTCCATGTCTTGGCTATTGTAAATAGGGCTGCTATAAACATAGGACTGCATGTATCTTTTCGAATTATGCTTCTGTAGGGACTGCATTTTGTTCACTGCTCTGTCCTAGCATGGAGAGCAGTGCTAGGCAGCTAGTAGGCATAAAATGGAGTAAAGCTGGAGAGATAATAAGGTATGAGGTGGGGTAGGATGAGGTTCTATCTGACATGATTCCTCTGTTAGTGGCTTGTAGCCTATTACTTCTTCTATCCCATCACTGGACTGCTCTGACTCTCACTTTAAGTGGCCAAAAATGGCACCTGAGAGAATGTATATTAAATTATCTGGATCCTAGAGCCAACTACAATCATGATCATTGATCCTTCTTTTCAATGCCCTGATATAATAACAGCAACAACACTAGCAAATTCTTATTGCGTGCTTGCTAGGTGTCACTCACTGTGCCAGGAGATTATATGCATGACCTCATTTAAACCTCACAGTGAAGTTGAGTGTGGGTTTTTCCAGATTTTACAAAGCCAGACATCAGTAGGTAGAAGACTTGGGATTTCAGCCCAGGCCCAAATGCCAAATCCTTGCTCTTTCCTTGAAGTAAGAGATGCCTAAAGCATGGCACATAGACCACTGTAAGTGTCCACAATGACTTTAATGGTACATGGATGAACATCTCATATACAATTTTAAAGTATATTATATTTTTTGTGCAATAGAAGAGAAGACAGCTAACACATGAAGAAATATTGCGGCCTTCTTCGGAGGCAGGGGGAAAACATTGACATCACACAGCCTGTGCAAGACCCTTTAAATACTCCCTTGAACACCTCTGTCCTTTCCCCACTGGGTCTAAGCTGCTTATCGCTTCTCTTTCCCTCCAATTCCCCATCCCCAAACACCTGGGAGGTCATCCCCTTGCCCCAACAGCTTGTCCAGTGTCAGGTTCTAGCACTTTCTCTCATCACTTTTCACCAGCACAACAGTTCTCGACTTTCATTCTCACACCAGCCCAGGACACATACGTTGTATGCCAGCTTAACAATGCTGTCTGCAACTCCTGAACATGGGTTTTTAACCAAATAAACTCATGAATGATTTGCACACGGCATAGAGAAGGAGAAAATAGTCAACATTCACTTTGAAAGAAAAGTCACTCTGAGGAAAAGAGAAAAATCATATATACACATTTCTTTGTACAAAAACACTAACATGATAGAAGCATGAAGTCTTGAACCATTTTTTTTCTTTCTCTCTCTGGATCCCATCCATGCAATGGAATGTCATATAGGTGTAACTCTAAGTGCAATTTAGTATTTTCTGACCACCAAGATGATGGAATCTCCTGGGGCATATATGTAAGTTAATGTTCTCCCTCCCTTTCTACCTTTTCTAGCTCAACTCAACCTCTAGATGGTGAAGAGACAAGCTATTCCAAATAACAAAGGAGGAAGCTTGTGGAGTAGGGGGACATGTTAGAGAAACCAGGTCATAAATTCCCTCCTTCCAGTTTGGGGCAGGGGATGACGAAAAAATGAGGTGTAGGGATTGAAGGATGATAGCTTCTCTGTGTGATGGCACAGTCATGTTACTCACAATTATACATGGAAACATATCTACTTAGTTGGGTTTTATTTATTTATTTATTAAAAAATAAATTTAAATGCTTTTATTATTATTATTATATTTTTTGGCTGCACCATGTGCAGCTTGTAGGATCTTAGCTGCCTGACCAGGGATCGAACCCAGGCCCTCGGCAGTGAAAGCAAGGAGTCCTAACCACTGGACTGCTAGGGAATTCCCCTGAGTTGGGTTTTAATTTGTTGATAAGTCAAGTTAAGCAATTCAATGCATATTGTATGCCCATCTAATGAAACATATGTACAGAAGAGAAACAGCAAGAAAATGACAAATTGAAAGAACTCCAGACACTTTTACCCAAGTGCTAGAACACTGAAGATATTTATTGGAACTTTACTCCTATGAAATATTATTACCTCAGTGAAAAGCTGGAAAAAAAACTAAACATCCATCAGAAGTTGGTTAAATAAGTTATGGAAGAGCCATATTTTAAAATTCTGTGAAGCCATTAAGTGATGATGTTTATACATATCATTTGGCATGAAAAGACACTGACCACCTATTGTTTGATAAAAATCTCCAGTATCAAGAAATTACGTATAAATTAATGCTGATTTTGTCATATACAACATAGTAATACATATTTTCTACTTATTAAGTATTTATTTCTGAATACTTAACACATGTACAAGATAGGAATTTCAGAAAATCAAACAGGGCATACAGTGCACAGATATCTCTCACTCTTCTGTCTCCCTGTTCCCCTACCCAGAGACAGATTCCAAAAGAAAACCAAGCAAAATGACAGCATCATTTGAAAAATAAGCACAATGAGGTATGTAATACTAATAAATCTTAAACATAGTATATAAAAATACATTAAATAAACAATGTAGCTGAAAATAACACCTATGTCTAAGTAGCGAAAATGTGAGTGCTGACCTAAAACACACACAGGGATAAGCAATAGAAAACGTCCTAAAAATGTTTAGGAAACCGTTTGGATATAGTGGTCCTACGTACCAGTTGCAACTGCTAAAAACAATCCTGTTGCTAAAAACAATCCATAACCGTACAGTACATATGAACAATCTGCAAATGATTTGTGAGAACTGGGTGATGTAAAAGACGATTTGAAAAAGTAGAGCCACTACTTGCTGATTGGACTGGAAAATTATCATTATCGTTGTACCCAGACAAATGTGTGCTTAGGTTTTTTGTTTTTATTGTCATTATGAGCAAGTCCATTGGAAAACACTGGTGGGGCAGGGGTAGAAACTTGGCGCGACATCACGGGTTCACCAGTCCAGAAACAGACCTCTTTCACACACTGTCTTTGACAAGCACTGAGGTGGTTCCCTCGTGTTTCAGGTGTGTTGCGGGCCCAGTGCCTGCCCCTCTTCGGGAAGAGAGGCAGGGGCTCACTTGTAGACCCACTCTGGACGGCTCTGTGCTCCTTCATGACCCCCTCCCCCCCAATCGCCGCTGTTGAACTCCTCGACGACCACACTGCACACGGTGCTCGCGTCCAGGCAGTGCGTGCCCGCGTCCAGGAAGTGTGAGGCGACGCTGTAAACTCTGGGGTGAGAGACTAACGCGTGGAAACTCTGCACCCTGCGCCTGCTGCAGAAGCTGTGCAGAGCTGGGTGGGTGTGGGATTGGTACATCATGATGCTCCTGGCGCCCAGGAAGAGCATGAAGCGCGAGACTGGGACAAGGAAGTGTGGGTGCTGCTTCTTCCTGCACAGCCTGCAGCTGCAAACCAGAACTCACAGGTTTGCAGGGGCCCAGGCTCAAATTTAACCGTGCGGCAGTGGTTCACCCACAGTGTAGTTCACCAGGCCTGGGGACTCGAAGGTGTCCAACAAACTTGGCCGTATGCATGCAGCTGAGGCCTCACAGCTTCCCCAATGTCTCCAGCACTCTGGCTGCGTGCCCAGGTGTATCTCGTTGAGGGGGACACGGAGGGTGCCGGAGCTTCGGGGCTTGTGGCACACCTTTGGAGCCCGCCTCCCGGGCCCGCTGCCACCAGCGCTTCTGCTGAATCCTTACCAGATCCCACCTGGCCGCCGCTGGCCTCCTCCCCGCGCGTGGCTCCCCACCCGGATTTGGATAGGTGGGCACCACGTGTCCCTGACCGGATGGCTGCACAGGCGGCGGCAGGATCCCCGGTTTCCTTTTGGACCCGCGGCTGAACGTTCGCGCTGCTCCTCACTCTGCCCAAAGTGCCTGCAGCCTTCAAGTGTGTGCCCACGGCCCCTGGTTTCCCAGTAAGTTACTGAGCAGCCTCATTGCATCAGCCTGATTGACCACTTGTGCTGTGAAGAGACCCTTCCCTTGCCCCTATGAAACAGCCTTTACTGGCCTGAAATTCTGGCTGAGCCCATCAGCTGCTTCTTCTCCTAACTACTGTTTTCTATTGTCGATGCAAATCAGCAGCCTAACCTTAAAATATTGAAACACTGAAAATACTGCAGACCTTTTAGCTAGCATGCAGCAGCAGGCAGAACAGTTCAAAATAAGCATTGTTCACCTAGTAGAGTCAAACTGAGGCATACAAAAAGACTTTCTGTGTAGTGTGTGAGTAGTTGTGCTAAAGTTGGGAGTAGTAAAGATGATGACCCACAATACTGTGTTACAACACACCAGTGGATCCATAGAGAAACTGGATGTTAACCTCAATATAGGACAAAAAGTCACTTATTAAAGTTCATTCTCTAAGAACAGGAAGTAAAAGAAGAAACAATACATTAATTTGTCCATCTGTACCAAGAACAAATTAACAGCTCTGGGAAGCATAGATAGGAAGCTGAACCATTCTCTGGAGATTGATGTGATCATTGGGCATGGCCAGAGGAGAGACCCCACAAAATGAACATAGATCCTCTTCCCTGAGGTGTAACAGTTAAACAGTGAGGAGTCTTCAAAAAATTACTTCCTGAATTAAGTAGTGACACCTACACATATTGGCTGCAAGCAGAGATGCACAAATCCACCGGCAATCTAAATTCAGTCATTCTTAACATTTTGTCATATACACATATCTATATGCATGCATATATGTATGTAGTTTTTCAAAAACATTTTTAAGTAAGATACACATATCAGTGCCATTTCGTCTCTCAGTACTTCAGCACTCCTGGCCTAAGAATAAAGACATAATTTATAGCCACAATATCATTATCACACCTATAAGTCAATGATAATTTTCTAATTTCATCTAACTTCCAGTGTAATAGGGAAGACCTTTTGTATTCTATTACAAGTTAATCACTAAAGGGATGTTGCCTATAAAGCTTAAATTATACCTAATGGCCCATCTCTGGGAACCCTGCCTCCCAGGTAATGAGTGTTAAGCTAAAATACCTTCGTTTAGCTCATAGGAAATGTCCTGACCAGGCCCACCTGTGAATGGCTGTGCAAAGGAACAAATTAACACATCCCCTCCGGAGTCTGGCTGGAACCAGGGCTTTACCCCCTCCCCTTTTAGTATAAAAGAAGCCTGAATTTTAACTCAGGGATGGTGTTTCTTTGGGACACTAGTCCACTATCTTCTTGGTCTGCTGGCTTTCCGAATAAAGCTGCTATTCTTTGCCCCACCCAACAACTCATCTCTCAATTTATTGGCCTGTCGTGCGGTGAGCAGCACAAGCTTGGTCTCAGTAACACCAGTATATATTTTCAATTTCCAAATTGTTTCCTAAATGTGTTTTTAAAATTTCCCCCCTCAACACGGGATCTATTAAAAACCACACATTAAATTTGGTTATGTCTTATTAGTCTGTTTAATCTAGAACAATCTCACCACCCTTTTTTTTCTCCATGATACTGATTTTTTTTTTTTAACAGACCAGGTCAGTTACCTGCTGATTTTACCTGATTGCTTCCTTGTGGTGTCATTTAGATTGTTCTTCTACCCAGTATATTTCCTATACAGCTAAAACTCAGGGCTAAAGGTTTGATTAGATTCAAGTTACACATTTTGGCAAGTATGTTGTTTTGGCAGATGTTGTTGCATACATCATACTGCATCATATCAGAGGTTCATGATGTCAAGTTATCCCAGTAGTAATGATACTAAATGTTATTCTTCATTAAAATGATGATTTCCAGGTTTCTCCATTGTGAAGGTACAGTTTTTACTTTGCAATAAACAAGTAATCTGAGAGGTGTTATTTTGACACTGTGTAACTATCTTGTTCCTTTCCAACCCTTTGCCTAATGGTTTAAGAATCCATTGATAACCTTTGATTGAACCAATTATTTTATTGTTAAATTACAAAATAGTGATTTTCTGATTCTAGATTTCCTTCTACTTTTATTAGCTTTCATTCATCCATAAAGATGATCTTTCTCTCATCAGCTGCAGATGGACTATCTCTCCTTTAAAGGCAGGGTATGTACTTTATTCTTTACTCTGCAAACTGATAATTATAGGTAAAGAGTAGGAGTAATATTCTAATTCAAAAAGATACATGCACCCCAATGTCATAGGAGCACTATTAACAGTAGCCAAGACATGGAAGCAACCTGAATGTCCATCAACAGATGAATGGGTAAAGAAGATGTGGTGTATATATATATATACAATAGAATTTTATTTGGCCATAAAAAAGAATGAAATAATACCATTTGCAGCAACATGGATGGACCTAGAGATTATCATACTAAGTGAAGTAAGTCAGACAAAGACAAATATCACATAATATCACTCATATGTGGAATCTAATTTCTAAAAATGATACAAATGAACTTATTTACAAAACAGAAACAGAGTCACAGACACAGAAAACAATCTTATGGTTACCAAAAGGGAAGGGGGAGGAGGGATAAATTAAGAGTTTGGGATTAACAGATACACACCACTATACATAAAATAGATAAACAACAAGGATTTAGTGTATAGCACAGGGAACTATATTCAATATCTTGTAATAATCTATAATGGAAAAGAACCAGAAAATATGTATAAATGAATTACTTTGTTGTACGCTGAAGCTAACACAATATTGTAAATCAACTATTCTTCAATAAAATAAAAATAAATAAAAATTTAAAAAGAGTAGCAGTAATAGTTATCTCCAATTACTGAAAATTATTCCCTCTCTCTCTTTCTCTCTTTTCCTCTGGGTATTATTTTGGACTCATGGATTTTTATTTACTCAGTAATTTACAGTCAATTTTTTAAAGTTTAAATTGTCCCAACTTTGGCCCATGGGAACCCTTTCAAACCAGCTCCTTCCTGTATCCTTTTGCATTTACCCATTAATCTTTGAGCACTTCCTTGTTTTCCAAATCAACTAGATGCCCCAGGCTCTCCTTGGACTTTTACTATCCTGGCCCTGGATTTACACATTTCTACAAAGAGCTCTGGTTTCTTTTAGTGGAGCATTATATTCAGAACAATGCCTGGATACATCATGGCACACTTTTTACTACTGAACTTTTTATTGTGGTAATTGTAGATATGCATACAGTTGTAATATATAACATGGAAAGTTTCCTTGTACCCCTTACCCAATTTCCCCCAATGATAGCATTTTGCAAAACTATAGTATGACAACTAGGATATTTTTATTGATAAAATCCATCAGATTTCCCCAGTTTTATGTATACTCTCTCGTGTGTGTGTGTGTGTGTGTGTGTATTTATTGATAGTCCTATAGTATAAGCCTGACAGTTGGCTTTTCTTTTTGTAATGCAAGTACCTGACTTAAGCTTTGATTGTCTAGGCATCCACTTCAAAGAAGCATTCACTTCAAAGGTGGCTATCTCAATAAACACAATTGCCACCTATGTGACTACATAAAGAACCTGGCTGAACCCCATAGTCACCCCAAACTCCTTTTAGAGATCTTGGATGATTTTTATAACGGACTGTTTGGGCCGCTTGTCTTTTCTCTTCCCGACCTTTAAATTCCCATTCCTATGTTTTAAATTCACCAATATAAAGTGCGGACAAAAAAATGTTTCTTGCCATTTCAGTAAACAACAAATGTTGCCCACGACCAAGCCATCAGCCACTGCAGCCAACCCCGCCTCCTCTGCAATGGTGCACGCTGAGGGGAATTCAGGATGGAGAAAAACAGGATACTGGCCTTAGATAGTTAAGATGCATATATATCTAAGGAAAAATTTCAGTGACCCCAGTTTCTTGCATCTTCCCCTACATAGAAAAACACTAAAATCAACTTGAGATGTCTGTTTTTGTGATTAGCAGTAATCTTCTGATGATCGACTATATATTTTTTTTTCAGCAAAAACTCCTATATATCCCGGCTCCTCCTTTACCTCTTCAGAACACTCCCTCAGAGTTGAGAGGCTGTCTCCCAGGCAATAGTCCTCAGTAATTTCCCTGAGTAAAACATAACTCATAACTTTTAGGTTGTGTGTTTTTCTTCCAAAGACAAGAGGGAGCCCATAAAACACAAGGCCCCCCACTCTAGACCTCTAAAAGCAGAACCCCAGATCTTGCCCGCTCTCTCTATCTGTGACCTTGCTGTGTGGCCCCAGGTGTGCTATGTCATTTCCAGGACCTGTAAGTAATAAACCTTTTTTTCAAAGTTTCTTGATGGTTATTGCTGAGTGTGTCTTGTGATTATAATAAGAACCACAAGGGCCAGTCCAGCCACAACATTGATTATTGATAGGTTGAGACCAGCACAAAACAAGTTCTATGCAGTTATATCACATATATAGGTAAGTATCCCATCATCACAATTATTAACCACTGGTATGATAAATCTGTTTAATATTTCTAAATTTTGTCATTTCCAAAATTTGATATAAATGAAATCAAACAATATGTAGCTATTTGAGATTGGCTTTTATTCACTCAGCATAATACTCTGGGTAACGTCCAAGTTGTTGGGAGTATCAATAGTTCATTCTTTTTATTGCTGAGCAGTATTTCATGGTGTCTGTTTTATACAGTTTGTTTAAAAATTTACCTGTTGAAAGACATCTGTGATGTTTCCATTTTTTAGTTATCACAAATAAATCTTCTATGGACACTATGTACAGGTTTCTGTATGAACATAAGTTTTCTTTAAGATAAAGAGTTCATTTGCTGGGGTGTATGGTAGTTGTATATTTAGTTTTATAAGAAACGGCCAAACTACTTTCCAGAGTGGCTGTACAATTTTACAATTTTACCAGCAATGCATGTGATCCAATGATGTCTCCATATTCTCCCCGGTGTTTAGTGTTGTCATTAATTTTTATTTTAGCCATTCTGATAGGTGTGTAGTGATATCTCATTGTGGTTTTCACTTGCATCTTCCTCATGGTTAATGATATAGGACATCTTTTCATGTGCTTATATGCCATCTGTGTATCCTCATGTCTTTGTCCATTTTCTAATTGGGTTTGGTTGGGATATTTTTGTTTTGCATTTTTACTGTTGAGTTTTAAGAGTTATTTATATATTCTGGATAGTTTTTTGTTGGATATGTGGTTTACAAATATTTTCTTCTAGTCTGTTCTAATTTTTTCATCCTGTTTACAATGTGCTTTGCAGAGCAAAAGTTTTGGATTTTCATGACATCCAATTTATCAATTTCTCTTTTATTGATCATGACTTGCTGTCAGGCCTCAGAACTCTTTGACCCTAAACCCCAAAGATTTTCTTAAGTTTTGTCCTCAAAGTTTTAAAGTTTTATATTTAAGTCTGTGATTCGCTTTAATTTTTATATAAAGTGTTAGGTTTAGATTAAGGTTTCTTTTTTTTTGTCTATGGATGTCCAATGACTTCAGCACCATTTCTTTTTTTAGAACTATTTTATTTTATTTTATTAAAATATTTTTTATTTTTTAGCACCATTTCTTGAAAAGGTTATGAAAAAACTGTTCTTCCTCTATTGAATTGTTCTTGCACCACTGTCAAAAACCAGATGAACATATTTGTGTGGGTCTATTTCTGGGATCTCTATCCTGTTCTATTGATCTGTGTATCTATACTCACACTAATACCACACAGTATTAAGTATTGTAGCTATATAGTGTGGCTTCATATCAGATAGACTAATTCCTTGCACTTTATTCTTCTTTTTCAAGATGATTTATGCTATTCTAAGGCCTGTGCCTTTCCATACAATTTTTTTTTTTTGCCACACCGCACAGCATGCAGGATCTTAGTTCCTCAACCAGGGGTTGAACCTGTGCCCCCTGCAGTAGGAGCACAGAGTCTTAACCGCTGGACCACCAGGCAACTCTTCCATACAAATTATTTTCTTCTCCAAAAAAAAAGCCTGAGAATTAGATGATTTATTTTCTTATTGTTATTTTTTTAGAACCTGGAGGGAGATGGCTTTTATCTTTTTTATACATCTTTATTAGAGTATAATTGCTTCACAATGCTGTGCTAGTTTCTGTTGTACAACAAAGTGAATCAGCCATATGCATACATATATCCCCACATCCCCTTCTGAATGCTGGAAGTCCAAGATCAGGATGTCAGCATGGTCAGGTTCTGGTTAGAGTTCTCTTCAAGTGCTTACATTGCATCTCCTCAGTGCATGCATGTGAAGGGGCAGGGGGAGAGCTCTTCCTCTTCTTTTAAGGCCATGAATCTTACTGGATTAGGACTCTGAATTTTTGAACTCATTTAACTTTAATTACTTCCTAAAAGCCTTATCACCAAATACAGTCACATTGGGGCTTAGGGCTTCAACATATGAATTTGGGTGGGGACACAATTCAGGCCATAGAACTAAGTAATTCATTTTCTTTGGCATAATTGTAAATGGTATTGTATTTTTAATTTGGTTTCCACAGATTCATTGTCAGTATAAAGAAATGGGATAGATTTTAATGCATTGATCTTTTATACTGTGACATGGCTGACCTCACTTATACTAAATAGTAGGACGTTTTTGGTAGATTCCTTGGAATGTTACATGTAGACCATCATGTCATCTGCAAATAGAGACAGTTTTATTTTTCCTTCAAATTTTTATAATTTTTTCTTTATCTTGCCTTATTGCACTACGTAGAATTCCAGTATTATGTTGAATAAAAGTGGTGAGGGCATAAATCTTTGCCTCCTTTTCAATCTTAGAGGGAAAGCATTCAGTCTTTCTTCATTAACTATTTTGTTGGAAGTAGTTTTTTTGTAGATGCTCTTTACCAAGTTCAGGTAATCATCCCCTCTATTCTTAACTTGCTTAGAGGTTTGGTTCTCCCTCAATTTTTTTAAAAATTGAAATTTATTTGACATATAACTGTACATTTCAAATATACAACATGGTGATTTGATACATTTATATAGTATAATATGACTGCCATTGTAGCAATAGTTAACACCTCTACACCATCACCTAATTATCATTTCTTTTTTGTGGTGGGAATAAATAAGATCTAGTCTCTTAGCAATTTAGATGATTATAACACAATATTGTTGTCTATATTCACTACACTGTAGATTAAATCTCCAAGACTTATTTATCTACTAGTTGCAAGTTTGTACCCTTAAACAACATCTCTCTCATTCTCCCCAATACCCAACCCCTGATAACCAACATTTTGCCCTATGTTTTTATGAGTTTGGCCTTTTTAGATTTCACATGTAAGTGACAGCATACAGCATTTGTCATTGTCTGATTTATCTCACTTAGCATAATGTCCTCAAAGTCCATCCATGTTGTCACAAATGGCAGAATTTTCTTCTTTCTCATTGCTGAATAATATTCCATATTATTATCTGTCCATAGCAGACACACATCTTACATCTTCTTTATCCATTCATCCATTGATGGATACCTAGGTTGTTTCCATATATTGGCTATTGTGAATAATGCTACAATAAAGATGGGAGTACATATATCTCTTTGATATTCTGTTTTCATTTCCTTTGGGTATACAGCCAGAAATGGAATTGCTGGATCATATGGTAGTTCTATGTTTTAAGTTTTTTGAGGATCCTCCAGTAGACAGAACTTAGAGCAGTGCATCTCGTTGTTCATTTGACTTGAAGGAGAGATGGTCAGATATGTGATTATATCCCAATTCAAGGGCTATGGCCAGAGGTTTGGCTGGATGGTCAGGGATTTAGAAAGAACATAGAAAATTGTTGACAAGGAAATTTGGGGAAGAGGTATGTGAATAGACCTCTCTGAATGGGCAAAAAATACAAAATTATTTGTGTCCCTTGTAGATGTCCTCTTAAGGGTGACCTCAGCAAAGGATGATTTTAATAATCCACTGACACATTCTCTAAATACCAGTCAGCATCCTTCACCAGCCACACCACAATCCCTGTCATTGTTTATTGGGCTCATGAACAAAGTGACCATGTTGTGAGGGAAGGACGTTATGCATGGTCCCAGCCACATGCACTTCCACTCACCAAGGCTGACCAGGCTGCAGCCACTGCTGAGTGCTCAATCTGCCAGAAGCAGAGACCAATTGTCCCCAATATGGCACCATTCCCTAGGGTGACCAGTCAGCTACCTGGTGGCAAGTTGATTAAATGGGATCCCTTCTATCATGGGAGGAGCTGTGTTTTGTTCTTACCAGAAGAGGCACTTACTCTGGATATGGATTTACATTCCCTGCATGCGGTGCTTCTCCCAAAACTATCATATGTGGGCTTACAGAATTACTTATCCACTGTCATGGTGTTCTACATAACAGTGCTTGTGCTTCTGATTAAATTACTAACTTTATAGCAAATGAAGTGCAGCAATGGGCCCATGCTCATGGAATTCACTGGTCTTACCATGTTTCAAACCGTGCTGTTCTATTTTGATAGAACAGTGGAATGACTCAGTTACAACTCCAGCTAAGTGACAATACATTGCAGAGCTAAGGCAAGTTTCTCAAGAAGGCTGTATATGCTCTGAATAAGAGTCCAATATGTGGTGCTGTTTCTTCCATAGCCAGGATTCATGGGTTCAGGAATCAGGGGGTGGAAATGGGAGTGGCAACACACACTGTTACTCCTAGTGACCCACTAGTAAAATTTTTGCTTCCTGTTCCTGTGACCTTATGCTCAGCTGGCCTAAAGGCCTTAGTTCCAAAGGGAAGAATGCTTCCACCAGGAGACACAACAATGACTCCTCTGACCTGTAAGTTAAGACTGCTGCCACACCACTTTGATCTTTTTGTGCCTCTGAATCAATGTAAAGAAGGGAGTTACTGTGCTGGCTGGGTGGCTGATCCTGACTACCAAGGGGACATTGGACCACTACTCTATAATGGAGGTAAGAAAGAGCATGTCTATTTTACATTTGGTAGTATATATATGTCCATGCCATTCTCTCACTTCATCTCAGCTTCCCCTTCCCCTTCCCCGTGTCCTCAAGTCCATTCTCTACATCTGCATCTTTAGCTAGTGGGAAGCAGCTGCATAGCACAGGGAGATCAGCTCGGTGCTTTGCGACCACCTAGAGGGGGGGGATAGGGAGGGTGGGAGGGAGGGAGATGCAAGAGGGAAGAGACATGGGAACATATGTATATGTATAACTGATTCACTTTGTTATACAGCAGAAACTAACACACCATTGTAAAGCAATTTTACTCCAATAAAGATGTTAAAAAAATAGCCAAAAAAAAGAAAAAGAAAGAGCATGTCTGCAACACAGGAGATCCCTTAATATTTCCACACCCTGTGATTAAGGGCAATGAAGAATTACAAAAACCCAATTCAGACAGGATTGCTAATGGCCCAGACCCTTCAGGAACAAAAGTTTGGGTCACCCCACCATATAAATAACCATGACCAGCTGAGGTGTCTGCTGAAGGCATAGGGAATATGGAATGGGTAGTAGAAGAAGGAAGTTGCAAATACCAACTACAACCATGTGACCAGTTACAGAAATGGGGACTGTAATTGTCATGAGTATTTTCTCCTTATTTTGTTATGAATTTCTTTTTGTGTATATATACATAAAATAAGCATGTATCTTTTTTCTTTCCTTTCTTACCTCCTTATCATATGATGTAAGATGTATTAACTTCATATGATAATATTTAAATGTTTTTAATTTTACATCATGGTAATTTTTTTTTTTTTTGAGCAGAAACCAGTCTCGTTTTATTTGGAAGACCAAGATCGTCATGGCTACCTAAACTCCATGGGTTTTGAGCAACAAATCAGGACAGTTACTAAGTTTGAATTTGCCTACAGGGGAGAGCTTTTATATAACTGTATTCCAAACCGTCCTTCCCTCTACATGGGACATCTGCTGGCTCTAGGGAATCTGGCTGGAATACCAAAAGCTGCTATAAAATGT